AGGTATCTACTTTGCCCGAAATAATGAAGGTTCATGAAGATTTTTATTCATCTCTATTTGCTGAGGAGTCTGTCGACTTAGAAACCCAAAATCATTTGTTTTCGTTTGTCTCGAGTCGTTTGTCTGATCATGACCGTGATGTTTGTGAGGGGGCTTTGTTGCTGGACGAAGCTACTGAAGCTGTTGGCTTGTCCAATCGCAACAAGGCCCCTGGCCCCGATGGCTTGTCGGTAGAATTTTATTTAGCCTTCTGGTCGCGCCTTGGCCCACTCTTAGTGGAAGTCTTCAATGAAGGCTTGCGTGACTCCGAGCTTTGTGATTCCATGAAAACCAGCATTACCCGTTTAGTTTTTAAGAAGGACGACCGGAGGAATTTGAAAAACTGGCGTCCAATATCTCTCCTAAATGTCGATTATAAGATATGTTCGAAAGCTATCTCCTTGCGACTTTCTAAGGTTTTAGATTCCATAGTTGACCCGGACCAGACTTGTTCTGTTCCTGGGAGATCTATTGCTTCAATTTGTTCTTATTGCGCGATGTTTTAGATCACATTGAGCGAACTGGTGAGACAGGTATTCTCGTTAGCTTAGATCAGGAGAAAGCTTTCGATCGTGTCGATCGGACTTTCCTTCTGAATCTTTTAAGACATCTAGGCTTCGGCCCTTCTTTTTTAAATTGCATTCACACCCTGTATAATGGTGCTAATATGCGTGTGATTGTAAACGGCTTTCTTTCTGATATGATATCTATTGCGCGTGGTGTTAGGCAGGGCGACTCCCTTTCACCAATGCTCTACATCTTGTGTGTTGAAGTTCTTGCATGCAAGATTAGAGCCTGTAGTGATATTGAGGGTTTTTGCTCCCGGGCGCTCAGGGCTTACAGTTTAAAGTTGGTCAGTATGCTGATGACACAACGTCCTTTGTTAAGGATGTTGTGTCTCTTAATAATCTTTTAGGGAGATCCAGTTATACGAGCGTGGCACGGGAGCTAAATTAAATATTTCGAAAAAAAAGAGGCCATGTGGCTCGGGTCTTGGAAAGATCGCGTTGACCAGCCACTTGGCCTCAAGTGGGTTAATAAAATGAAAATTTTGGGTGTCGTTTTGGTACGGTCCCAGTTGAGAGAGACAACTGGGAACCGCGCCTGTCTAAACTTGATAGCTGTTTGTCTTTGTGGAAGTCTAGGTCTTTGTCGTTTGTTGGTAAAGTGTTGATTCTTAATGTTTTAGGTCTGAGCAAGCTTTTGTACTTGTCGCGTGTTTTAATTCCTCCGAGATGGGTGCTTGATAAGTATAATAGCTTGATCTGGCCTTTTCTATGGGGTGCCAAAATGGAACCTGTTGCTCGAAGGTCAATCGTGTGCCCTTCAGACCAGGGGGGCCTTGGTTTAATAGATTTCTGGTCTAAAGGACAGGCGTTGCGCTTATCTTCTTTTGTTAAATCTCTATCCGATCCTAGTTTTAAATGTTTTTATCTCGTTCGGTATTTCTGCGGTTCGCGTCTGGCAACCCTACGCCCTGAGTGGTCTACCTTCCGGGATATTCGTACACCTAATGCGGCTTCGCCTTCCAAGTTTTATTCGCGCATGATTGATCTTCTTAAGTCTTGTAGTTTTCCTGGGTCCTTTGGATTTGATTCCAAGTCTATTTATAAGGAATTAATTAAGCGTCACTGCTCCCTCCCTGTCCTCCCTAGGTTTTGGTCCCCTTATTAAGTAGATCCTTTAGTCTTCCTCGCCATTGGTCTTTCGTAAGAGATTCTTTTACTGAAAATTATAAAAGCGATCTTTCGTGGCTCATCACTTTGAGAGCGGTTAAGGTCCGTGAGTCTCTGCGGAACTGGGGGTACATTGATAACCCATCGTGTGCGACATGCTCGCAAACAGAATCCATTGATCACTGTTTTCGAGCGTGTCCCAGGGTTAATGCTGTGTGGTTCTTTTTCTCCCCTTGTTATCTTCCCTTTTATCGCAACCCTTCCCCTTTGCGGCGCTTCCATTTTCTTTTTTCAATTACCTTTTCCTAATGATAGGTCACGGCGTTTGCTTCTGTTTCTAATCAAATCGATCTTATATGGAATTTGGCGCTTTAGGAACAAGGCAGTCTTCCATAATGGTAGGGAAGACTCCAGGGCAATTACTAAGTACATTATTATGGATATTAAGAATAGGATTAAAGCTGATCATTTTAGATTTTCCCTAGTAGATTTCGCTCCTTGTGGTGCCACCCGGCACTTTGTGATTTCCACCAAGACGATAATTTAGTGTTTAAGTTTTAGGCTTTGTAATATGATCATTGTAATTTCCTTAGTCCTTTCTTTAGCTTGTAGCTGTGATTTGTATGTGGATTTCCTGTAAATACTGTAAATATTGTACATAGTTTGTTTTTGCAATAAATTTTCAAAATACAAAAAATCTGTTCTTATCAGCTTAATATCTGATACGCTGCTCATTGAGCAGCTCATATATTAAACTGATTTTTGGAATTGGGCTGTGGAAAGGAGGCTTGCCTCGTCCCAGCCACGGGTTGCCTCGGTATAGCACTACCTCCGAGTGCGGCCCACTTCCCCTTGGGGAAGAAATATTCAATTAATAAGAGACATTTTTTTTCCTGTGCTTGTTTTTTCAACATCTGGGTACCCTGTGGCTCACTGGTGTCCCCCGCGTCAGGTTTCTATTTAGGCGAGCCGTCGGTCACATAACAGGAGTCCTGTGGCCGTCTGGACTTGCGCAGTTACCACAAGGGCCCTAAGAGGAAAGCAGTTTTTCCGCTGCCGGCCGTTGGTCCTAGCTTTTCATACTTACCTGACGCGGGTAAGGGTCCTGCTATATGTATGCACAATCTACATTGTGGGACCCGTTACCTTATAACAGTCCTTGCACTCTGGCTGTTCAGGTGCCCCGTTAGGCGGGGAGCGTTTGGGGGCCAGGTTCGATTCCTGGGCGATTTTGGCGTACTGGTGTACCCTCCTCAGGCGTTGCCTGGCAGGGCCATTGCACTTCGGCTCTGTTAAGTATTTGTCGCCCGGCCATTGCACTGACCTTTGTCCACGTCCGGGGCGCCTGAAAAAAAAAAAAAAAAAAAAAAAAAAAAAACTTACCTGACGCGGGAGGCACTGTGATCAAGGAGGCAGTCCTCTCAAGGTGAGGCCCTCTCATTGCACTTCGATTGGGTTGACCCTTGCGATTACCCCAAATGTGGGTAACTCGAGCGTATAATTTCTGGTAGTGGGGACCTGCGTTCGCGCTAGTCCCCGGTTTTGTAGTAATTATTGTATTTAGCGCGGTCCACAGGTTATTTAAAACGCGCGCGCCAATGATACAACTGGTAACGTGCGCGCGTGTGATTGTTTCTCATACAGGTGATGGATCGATCGATAAAGATAAATCACGGAGAGAAAGAAGTCTCCGGGGACCAAGAAAGAAGGTAAATGATCTTGGAATATGTTGAAGTTGATTTGTAGCTAAGCTAGCATGTTATTAAAAAGCAGCTCGCTCAGTAGAGCAGAGTAGAGACTGAAATGTTTTACTCTCTCAAAGGAAACGTGAAGTGAAAGTCGCCAGAGATGTATGTTCAAGAAAGAGGATGGTCGACGGTTGAAAAGCAAGCAAGCAAGCAAGCAGGATCATAAACAGCCGTCTATACCGTGAGTACAGCTTTCAATCAGTACTTGTTTGCTTGTATATATTGAACTCGCCCTTTCTCTCGTTGGTCTTTACTGCAAGGCGCTGGTTTCGGCGGTTCATTTAAACTGTCGACCGTTAATAACAACTATTAACGAACTCGGTCTTGTGTTTTCGATCGAGGGCAAGTTGTATATGGCCTTTTGGCTTGTTTGTGTGGCGTTCGCGGCCGTTTTCTCGGCCTGTAGTTGCACTTAAAGGCGAACGTAGACTTGTAGAAGCTGTGATTTGAAAAAAGTGATGTCACAAGCGGTGATTTGAAGTCACAGAGCAAAATGGAACATTACCGCGCGCTCTCGAACCAACGCGCGTTCTACGTCCAAGCTATATTATTGTGAAAAAAAATTACCCCACCACAACTTGATTGCTTCGAAGAATAATTCGGCGTAACTTGGCAACTGACAGCAGAGGTACATCCCAGCTAGGGGTAAAACAGCAAAAATGATGAAAAAATTCCAGGAAAAATAAATGAAAAAAAGAAGCCTACAACACGGGGTATTCCCAGGCGGTCACCCATCCAAGTACTAACCCCGCCCGACAGGGCTTAACTTCGGTGATCAGACGAGAACCGGTGTTCTCCCTGTGGTATGGTCGTAGGCGAGAGAAAGGAGAGAAAATTTGACTTCTTATACCGAGTATGGTGAACATGTAAGCGAGGCATTACTTCATTACCCTCCTCAGGCAACCCTGACCTACAAAACAGGCTATGAAGTCTTCCTTTGTAGCTGTAAACAAATTTATGCGGCCACTTACACGGAGCTTAGCGGGCTTTAAAAACCCTTCGGGGCCTAGTAAGCGGTCCCAGTCTGCCTCGTTTTCGTGTTCCCTGTCCTCCTATAGGTTAATGGCCGAGCTGTTAGGGCCTGAGTACCGTGTAGACGCTATTTGATCCCTGTCTATACACACTGTAGTGTCCTGGGGAGCTTGGCCGAGTATCCGTGCTCGGACTGACCCAATGATATGTCCCTGTCCTCGCATAGAGTGCCAGATGCATCATGGGATGCGACAGTATTGCAACCACCATATCTAGGATGGGGAAGGAGCCAACCACCCTAGGTCCGGAGGACCTAAAGGGGCATCGCTTCTCGGCCTTTTGGCTAAGATCAAGTGTAGTATCTGTTCTTATCGGTCACGTTTTCGGTTTCTCCGCCGAAAACGTGAACAGTTCCCGTTCCTGTGCTTCGATCGCCTTCATTTTGGTCTCGTTCGTTTCCTTTTACTGTGGGGATTCCATTGGTGAGGTTTGTTTTTGCGTTGTTGGTTTATTTTCGACGTTTTGAGTGGATTTCTTTCACGTCGCCAGACACGTGCTTTGCGCGATGACTGCGCGACCCCGCGCAACCTTCGCGCACACAAAAACTGTGCGTCTCATTGTTGAGGAAAATATGGCAATTAATGCGTTGGAAATTGTTCGGTCTCTCCCGGACTTTCAAGAGGAAATCACAGGCATCGTGCCGAATTTTGGAGGAAAATGCTTTGACATTACCCTTCGCTCTACTGAAGCGGCGACACGCCTGGCTACGTCCGGCTTCGATTACGGGGCCGAGCGAAAACCGCTCAAGCTATTAGGAGCAAAAACGATTCACGTCTCGGTGTTCGTCGCCGTCGAATTCCCCGATCAAGAGATCGTAAAATTTCTCAAGCAATATGGACAACTCAAGTCCGAAAATCTTCGCCGTCTTTGCTACAACGAGGAGGGCTTTAGGAACATCGAGCGCGGCATACGCGTGGCAGAATTCACGTCTTTGGATAGGGACCTCCCCCGGAAAGTGGTCACTCAAGGCCTCGAAATTTTCTTTAAGTACACTGGGCAGCCGATCACCTGTTATCGATGCGGCTCGACGGAACATGTCGTGAAAAATTGCCCGAAAGAGCGTTCACGCTATAGTCATATACGCGCGGAGGATCGCGTTCTGGCCGACCCTCCTAACCCCACCACCCCTCAGGAGTCTCAAATGGAAACAAACTCTGATGAAACCTCCGAGGACACTCCGCCGGTTGAAAACTCCGCGGACCGTTCTCCGCTTACACAGAGCTACGCCTCAGTTACGGCTCCTTCGCCGGACCTTTCGCTTTCCTCGGCCTCGCGAGATCTTTTCGACTCTCAGTCTCAACAGTCGAGAAAACGTCCCCCCTCATCCCCCGGAAAAGCTGACAAGCCAGAGCCGAAACAGCGCGCCGTCAATGACAAGGGAAAAGCCTCCCCTACTATCCAGGGTTTTCTTCGCGGACTAAAGCAGAGTGGACCCGAACGCACTAAACTAATGACCATCATTCAAGGTCCTCAATATTATCGAGCTCGCGCTCTTTATTTTCAATATAAACACGGAAATTTCGCTGACCTTGACCTTAACCATGCTGTTCGCCGCGGGCTGAACGATCGAGAACAGGACGCGTGGGTACACCTACACCGTACTCTTGGCCACGATGCGTTCGCCGAGCTGGTCGCAATGTCCGAGGATCTTGGCCGGAAACACCCCGGCCTGTTCAAGAACTAACTTTTTTCTCACCGTCGCGTTCACTTATTTGTTGTACTTTTTGTTTTTCGCCATGGCTGTCTCGCTGACATCCATCAACGTTAACGGCGCTGCCGAAAGCCATAAGCGCCTTAGGGTTTTTGGGTGTCTGCGTAGCATGTCCTCTGATTTATTTTTACTACAAGAAACTCACCTCGCGGATTTTACGCAAGGTAAGGCATGGGAGAAGGAATGGGGGGGTCAGTGCGCGTGGTCCCCCGGCTCAAATAGGTCCGCGGGTGTCGCGGTTCTTATTCACCCGAATAGTGCTGCGAAACTCGTGGATTTTAAAACCGATCTAGAGGGGCGAGTAGTCACCGCTCTTATTGATTTTCACGGGCAACGTTTTCAAATAATTAATGTTTACGGGCCTAACAATCACAGCGAACGTGAAATATTTTTCGACAATCTCTGGCGCTTTAAATTTCCTAACTTAGAATCTATTGTTGTCGGCGATTTTAACTGTGTACCGGATATTGCGATGGATAAGTGGGGAGGCGATGACAGTTTTGGAAACAGGGCTGTCGCGCAGCTTCACTCTTTCACAGAGTCACTCGCATTAGAAGACTTTTATCGCGTTTCTAACCCGAGCGGTCGGATTTTTACGTGGTTTAACGGCCCTCACTCCGTGGGATGTAGACTAGATCGGTTTTATACACCGCGAGCCTGGAGATCACGCATCTCGCGACACGCGTGTTCGCCCTTTGCGTACTCTGATCACCATTCAATTAGACTTCAAGTCACGTTCGGCCCTACTAATCCCCGGGGTCGGGGAGTATGGAAATTTAATACACAGCTGCTCAAGAACGAAAGTTTTTGCGCCGCAATTAATTCTTTTTGGTCCTCATGGCAACTAAATAAACCAGCTTTCACAGACCCTAGGGTTTGGTGGGACGCTGGAAAGCTGCAATTAAAAGAAATCGCCATCGCTCACAGTGTCGCTGAAGCACGTGAACGTAAGCGTGACAAACTTAATTTAGAAACTGAATTTCGCAATATCCTGGCTCGCGGTAATTCAAATACAGCCGACGATCACGTTCGCTTAGCGGAGATCCGAGATCTCTTAAAAGCTATCGAAGATCGTAGTGTAGAAGGAGCAATAATCCGTAGCAGAGAGCAATGGCTAGAATTCGGAGAAAAGCCTACAAAATATTTTTATCAACTCGAAAAGCAACGCCAGACTCGTAATTCGATCAATGAATTACGTGTCGGGGATCGGACAGTCACGTCTCATAAAAATATTCTGACAGCTTGCCGAGATTTTTATGTTAATCTGTACACTGCGGAACCGGTCGATTTAAAATGCCAAGACTGGCTTTTGAATCAACTGGACTCCACTCTGACATCCGAAGATCAGGAGAAATGTGAAGGAGCTCTCACGCTCTCAGAGTGTTATGAGGCCCTTAGCCAGATGCAGACAAATAAATCCCCCGGAGCGGACGGCTTTCCGGTAGAATTTTATCGACGCTTTTGGAGTTCGCTAGGAAATGACTTAGTCGACGTTCTAAATTATTCTTATGAACACGGGACATTATCCGACTCGCAAAAGCAGGGGATAATTCGTTTGCTCTACAAAAAGGACAACCCGTTGCTCTTAAAGAACTGGCGTCCGATCTCTCTGCTTAATACGGATTATAAAATTTGTACTAAAGTACTGGCCAACCGGCTTAAAAAAGTACTCTCGGTAATTCTGAGCGAAGATCAAACCTGTGGCGTACCGGGCCGGAGCATCTATGAGAACTTATTTCTTCTCAGAGATACTCTCGATTACATTGATCACAAACAGCTTTCCGCTGCGCTAATCAGTTTAGATCAGGAGAAAGCTTTTGACCGCGTTAACCACGGCTTCCTACAGCGTGTGTTATCACGTTTTAATTTCGGCCCGAGTTTCCGACAATGGGTGAATATTGTTTACACCGATATTCACTCTTGTGTGCTAAATAACGGCTGGCTCTCGGCTAAAATCACGCTCGACCGGGGAGTTCGACAGGGCTGCCCTCTTTCACCGCTCTTATATTGTTTAGTCGCCGAAACGCTAGGTCAAGCGATTCGCCGTGACGACAGTATTCGGGGAATTCCAATTCCCGGTGTAAACAAACAGAGTAAAGTCTCGCAATATGCCGATGACACTACTTTGATTCTCGCCGATAATTATTCTATAACGCAAAGCTTTAACCTTATTAATATTTTCGAGCGAGGCTCCGGCTCTCGCCTTAACGCACAAAAAACTGAGGGCTTGTGGCTAGGATCCGCGGCCGGAAAACAAACCGGACCGGTAAATATAACTTGGACCACAGACAAGCTTAAAATCCTCGGTGTTTATTTTGGTACTTCTAATGTCGAGCACGCTAATTGGATTGACCGCATAATTAAACTCGAAAAACGACTTAACCTCTGGAAATCACGCACGCTATCACTAAAAGGTAAATCACTAATCATAAATTCTATCGGCGCCTCGGGCCTCTGGTACACTGCCACGGTCCTTCCTATGCCGGACTGGGTAGCCACACGAGTTAATAAAGCCATTTATGACTTCTTGTGGAACGGCAAAACAGAGCTTGTTAAGCGAACTACCTGTCAACTACCTTTTCATCACGGCGGCTTAGCGGTAATTAACCCCAGTGAAAAAGCGAGAGCCTTAAAATTACGCTGGGTACCCCAGATAGGCGATCCCTCGTGTAAGTCTAACTGGGTTTTCTTCGCCCGTTACTGGGTCGGCCTAGCTCTGAGCCGTAAGGTCCCGAGCTGGTCTTTTCTCAGATCGAACGCGTGTCCCAAATATATCGGAGATTCTCCCCCGAAATATTTTACACACGTCTTAACGGCGGTAGACCGACTGAACCTCGATCTTACCCTGTTACCGAATTACCGAGTGAAAACTTTCTACGAAAAACTCACTTACCCCTCCCCTAGGCGCCTGCCCACCGCAGGGGCCTGGGAGAAGCGTTTACATACTCCTCTACCCTGGCCCTCTATCTGGTCTCATATTTATGGTGGTCTGAGTACGAATTGGGAAGCGGATATCGCGTGGCGTATTGCACACGGCGTTTTAAAAACCCGAGCATATCTTAAGAACTGGTGTCGGCTGAAAGTCAGCGACCGATGTGCTCGGTGTGGGAAGCGTGAATCCTTCTCTCATGCCTTATGCGAGTGTACCTCTGTACCTCAAGTCTGGCAGTGGGCTTTTACACTCATTAATAAATTTTTTTCTATAACGCTGGCTCCCTCGCCGCCCTCGATCTTGTTCAAACACGGCTTGCCTACCGGCGATAAGCACTCCGTTGCTCTCGTACATGTAATTATCAACGTCACTCTGAATGAGATCTGGGCGGCTAGGAATCTAGCGACTTTCGAAAATTCACATCAGCCGGCCTCGGCTACAATTCGTAAAGTTAAGCACCGCCTGCGGCAGCGAATCCGTGCCGCTTATAATTTCAACAATATTCCTGTCTTTAAAAAATCGTGGGGCCACAAGCAGGTCTTATGTAAAATTGAAAATCAGACCCTTCAGGTCCTTATTTAGTCACCAGGCTCCCGGGAGCAGGGCGGGCCTGGCTGTACCTTTCGCTCACGGGGCCCTCCCTGCTCCGGGGACCCCCTCACCTTAGTTACTCTTAATACTGCTCTACTATATTAGGACTCCTAAAGTCCTGTAAGCAACCATCTAAATCACAATAATTATCCTTATCTCCGGGGAAGTAGGCGGCATATATTGGAACTTTACAGGGCCGCCAAAACCCCGGGTCTATCGATCTTTTTTCCTTAGACTTACAATTTCAGTGACTCGGGGGTCTGGGTCCTAG